GGCCGCGGGAAGCGGCGGGGGGCGGCCGCGGACACCGGGAGTCGCCGCTGCGTGGACGTGGGGGGGACATGGGGACATCTGGGGGAGGGAGCGTCGCTGCCCCCCCGGCCACTGGGTGTGGGACAGTCCCCACGCAGGAGGAGGGGAGTGTGACCACCCCGGGTGGCACCCGCCCTGTTATTAGGGAGACCCCACCCTTGGGTGCCTGCCTGCCCCCCCGCATCACCCCTCATGAGTGAGGAAGAGCCGCGTGGCCCCCCCCATGCTGCTGTGGTCCCCCAGGAGCACCCAGCCCGGATGTGGGGACCCCCCCCCCCGCCACCGCCCCAGCGAGCCCCCTGGGTGCCCAGCACCCCTGTCACACAAGACCCCCCCTTACAGAGCACCGAGCCCCCACTTTGGGTGTGTGACCTCCCTGCATGATGGGACCCCCCATACAGAGCAGGGAGCCCCCCCATTTGGGTGTGTGAGCCCCCACACACGATGGGACCCCCCATACAGAGCAGAAAGCCCCCACCTTCAGGCGCCCCCCAGCATGGGACAGGGACACTGGGCACACATGTGTATGGGCACCCATGGGCGCGCTGTGTCCCCCCCACCCCCGGTGCTTCCTCGTCCTCTTCCTCGTGGCCCTGCTGAGTCAGGGGCGCGTGGGCCGCCCTGGGGACACTGGGGACACGGCGGAGGCGCCGCTGGGGACATCTGAGTGCTATGGGTAGCGGTGACGGTGCCCGTGCCACCGAGCGGTGCCCGTGCCGCAGCTGGGGACACGGCAGGGCCACCCATGGGACACGGCCACCTGTGGGAGACAGCAGGGCCACCGAGAGCCACCCGGGTGCCGTGGGCAGCGCTGCGGCCGGGGACACGGCAGCGCCCGCGGGGACGGGGCCGCCCGCCGCCATGGCGCCCGTGGCTTCTCCGACGGCTGCTACGCGGCTGCGGCGGCCCCCGCGCGGCGCTGCTCGCGCAGGCCCCGCGCCTTCCTCCTCCCGTCCCCACTTCCTGCGGAAGCCACCGGGCCGAGGACACGGGCACGGGGACATGGGGGCATGGGGACGCAGGGGCGCGGGCACATGGGGACATGGGCCAGGATACACGGACACAGGGAAACAGGGATGTGGGGACATGGATACACTGGGACACAGGGCCTGGTGCCTCCTGCCATCCCTTTCTCCCTGCCTCCTGTCCATGGCCACCCTGTTCCTCATCCCTTCCTCCCTCATCCTTCCCTTCCTCCTTCCATCGCTCATTCCTTCCTGTCCCCGTCTCCAACTCCTGCCCGTCTGCCCGTCTCCATCCTTCTTTTATCCCTCAGCCCTCTCTCCCATTTCATCCCTCTCTCCATCCATCCATCCATCCATCCATCCATCCATCCATCCATCCCACTACCCATCCCACCATCTATCCCACCATCCATCCCACCACCTGTCCATCCCACCACCGGTCCATCCTTCTCTCCATCCCCCCCACCACCCATCCACCCATCCACGAATCCCACTCTGCACCCATCCCTCCATACCACCACCCACCCATCCATCCATCCCTCCATCCCTCCATCCATCCCTCCACCCATCCGTCCCACCACCCATCCATCCGCCCCTTCCTCCCACCATCCTTCTCCCTCCCTCATCCCTGCCCGCCTTATCCCGGAGCAGGGCCGGCGCCGCTCCCGGCGGGCACCACCGGCCGTGGGCAGCCGCTGACCGCCCGCTGTCCCCGCAGGGCGCCGCCGGCATGGGGCCGGGTGGCCGCG